CAGAGGGAAACAACAAAAGTTCTTTTCCTTTACAGCTCTTTCACTTTTTGCCTAATGAAGGTGGAATATAAAATGTTGAAGGAAAAAGCAGTTTTTCCCCTACAGTAGAATTTCCTTTTCAGTTATTTTTAATCTGACATCTGTTTTAACATGCACTCACAACACTACATTTATTTTATTTTTTTTTCCCTCCCTTGTGTTTTATTATTTACCTCCTGTTCCAAAGAGATCACAAAAGATTACACTTCTGTGAAGCAATAACAGCAGTGGTGATGATCTCTCTTACTTCTCACAACTTCTCTTTTTACCCCTCTGTTTTTCCTTTATCTACATCTTGCAATCACTGCCCTCCCAGAGGCCTCATTACAGCTGCTATGAGATGGGGTGAAGGATTTCACATTTTTTGGGGGGGGAATTGGACAGATACACGCTAACTAGAACACAAAGCATTTCTTGTTCAGAGCCTGAGTAGTCGTTCTTTGCTCTGTTTCAATTCATGCCTTTAAATAAGTTAGAGCAAGAAATCACGCTCTGGGTCAGCCAGTGCCTGTACTTTGAAGAAAGCCCCAGACTCTGCTGCCTTCAGCAGAAAGCAGCCAGTGCTGAGATGTGCCAGCCTTCAGCCAGACTTCTGACATGAGGCTGGCTGAATGTTTCATTTCCGTTGGAAATGAAGATAACATGCTTAATCATCTTACATGTAATTAAATTAAATCATGGAGCATATGCATTCTTCAGCTTCTCCTAAGAAGCTGGTTGCTCAGGTCTGAGCATTAGGGTAGAAAAAAAAAAAGAGTTCTCGGTGGACCAGAAATCACTACAGAGAGTTTTAGCACCTTCCAGCCCCAGGGCAACTTCTCAGGCAGTGAGAGCACAGGATGGTTCATGCAGCTGGCAGGCTCAATGGTAAAGTTTTCCTTGCTCCTCCACCCTCTTGCTCTCCAAGTTGAAACAGGGGCAGGGACCCCTAACCCATGGGATTACCAAACCAGCCTCAACCCAGATGCAGGAAGGGAACTGCTTGGCTGGTTCGCTTGTCTCGCCTAGTAAATAGGTGAGAACTCATTTAGGCCTTTGAATAAAAACAGAGCACATGCTATTATTGAAATGAAAAAATCAGCTTATGAATTACTGCCTCATTCTTCTAGGCATTTTAAAGTTTGTTTTTTTAGAATACTGCACTACATAAAGATGATGCTGATCTCCACCAGCTGAGTGTGCAAAGGGCCTGTTCAGCCACAAAACGAGGTGACTGAGAGGGGACCTCATTAATGTCCATCAGTATCTGAAGGGAAAGTGTCAAGAGGATGGAGCCAGCCTCTGCTGAGTGGTGCCAAACACTAGGACAAGAGAAAATGGGCAGAAACTGATGCACAGGAAGTTCCACCTGAACATGAGGAAGAACTTTTTTCCTGTGTGGGTGACCACACACTGGAACAGACTGCCCAGAGAGGTCGTGGAATCTCCCTCACTGGAGATATTCAATTATTCTATTCCCCCTATACAGAATGCAGGATTTGAAGAAAACAAGTGTAGTCAATTCCAGTATGGCTTCCTCAGTTTGTTAACATTCTTTTAAAAGTCCTTTGTTTTCATCTCAGCTAAAGAAGCAATTTTAGATTTATGCTTTTACAATTCAGTGTTTTCAAACACTCCCTGTGATCTGAAGAGATCTAAAACTTTTATGTCTCAAGAAAGCTTTGCTTTCAGACCCTATTTTCTGCGATTTCCAAAAATTAGCAATCCACAAGATGTCCCCAGTGCTTAAAACAGAGACACCTAAAGTCACTAGACTCATTAGGAATGGTTAGAGCACCTTGTTGGTACACCTTCATTGCATCAATGTTAAAATTCATTACAGGATATTAAACAAACTTTCTCTTGGTCAGCGGTTACTGTAGTTCCTCATGGAGTGGGAATGATCTGTCAAGTGCTTAGAAGAGAGAAAGTCTCTACAACACAGCTGGTTGGGATCTGATAGTCACCCATCATTTGCTCACTCTTGTTTTTAAGGAGCAGAAGGATTGCGGACTTTCTTGATGCCTCTTTTTAAGTCTTAGAAGAGCCTGGTTCCATCCTCTTGAAATCTTCCCTTCAGATGCTTAAGCACATTGAGGAGATCTCTCAGTCATCTCTTCTTGAGGCTGGACAGGCCCTTTGCAAAGATGGAGACCAAAGTTGAAAGCTTTGATCGTGCCTAAAGGTGGAAATCATCATCATCTCTACACATTACAATGTCGTAACTCTGGCTTTCTGGGATTTGTAATAAAAACAGTCTAATGGTAATTTTACCAATGGTGTCTTTGCATATTAAAAATACTCTTCTCTTTGGTTGCCCTGTTAAATAAGGACTGACCAGATGGACAATTTTCTTTCTCTCCTGGGCAAGTTACATCTAATTAAAAAGCTGTTCCCTCCTTCTATTCCTACCCTGCATGATACACATCATCCAGCTGTCAGCACTGGTAATTTCAGCAAAGCTCACCAAGATTTGGATAAAACTTGCTGTTGTTGTTTGTGGGGTTTTTCACCCCCAGAGAGGAAGGGAGCCAAAGTTCCAACTGAGCAAAATAAAATTAAAAGTAGATCAGTTTTTTTTGTCTCAGTGGCATGTGCTATGGTATATAATGTATGTTCCCTGCTTCACAAAGGAAATGAAAAAATGAACTTATATGACTGATGAAATAAAGATATCAAAGTATTACTTGTCCCAGCTGCTATGTGCACTTCACATATAATTACTATTTAATATCTTTGTTTCCTACAAACCAGGAAAAAAGCTTACCCTCACTCCCAATTCCCTCTCCTTGTAAATAAGCTGATGCAGAATATTCTAGATTTGCAGTTTCTACTTGACTTTCTTCTTGAATTTATTCTCTTCTTTGCAAAGTAATGCGGTCTACAAAATGAAGCTATTTAAAATCCTAAATGAATAAGTGTTATAAAAATAATAAATTAGTATACAAGACTGACTTGCACAAAACATATGTTACACTCTGAAATATATTTAGACGTGAGTGCATAATTGCCTGTTCCTTTTCTAATGGCCTGAAGCACAGTGCTAAATCTGAACTTCTCCCAAAGTCTGTGCAGCAAAGGAGTGCCGCCCCCTCCACAGCTCCCTGCTGAGCTTGGGTCCTCTGCCTTTCACGTGCTGTCTGCAGGCCTGACAACCAGCTGCAGCAGCCCTGATAAATCTCATCTGACCATAGGAACTAAACGGCAGCAAACTGTCAGCAGGAAACATCTGGGAAAGATGGAGGAGAGGGGCAGTGGAAGTGCCAGTCAGGCGAAGGGCAGCACATGTAGGAGACCACACCATGTGGTCTCCAGCCCTGCCTATGCAATGGACCTCGGACCTGCACTGTTGGTAACAGTCTCCTGGATGGGCCTCTGGACGTGCCTTGTTGTTTGTCCCCAGCCCAGTTCCCTGCTGCTCCCGATGGGATCCTCAGCCCAGGTTCAACCCCTCACATCACTTGGGGCTGCCAACAGACCAATACTTGGCTGGTACCAGCAGCTACTGTAGGAGGAGTGAGAGACAAGGCTTTGGGTCATGTTGGGGGAACAGACAGAGACGGAATATAACTCACTTGTGTCACCAAGGAGTTAACAAAGACAACCAGTTGCTCTGAAACACTTTTTTCCTTGAAAAAAAAAAAACACCCCAAAACCAGAATCATCTTTATTTGGATGTGTTTACAGATTGTTACTTTTTTTCTCTTTTTCCAAAAAAGTATCATAGGTTTCAATAGAAAAAATGTATAAAATTACTTTCCAAGCCAGTTTCTCCCAAGACACAGGTCGGCCTGGAGTTGCACAATATTTAACATCAGTGTGTTTATAATGTTCATGGAAAAGGGAAGTGGCTTCCTTTGACTTCTCAGAAAGCTGAACCTCTCCCTCTGCAAATGGAGCCTGTTACCTTGGAAGTGAAGTAACCAGCAATAGCCCCTGTGCACGTCAGAACAAAGGGGGGCTGTCAACAGAATTCCTCCTGGCAAGTTCATTAATTAACACAGAGGTGTTCTCAGAGGTGAGACTCACCTTACACAGTGAGGTGGCAAAGCTGGACCTCCATTAATCTTAAGGAACTACACAGAGTCCTTCACCTAGAAACTAAAGCATCTCCAAAACCAGTTTGTATCTTCACTCTAAATGTCCAAAAGTCAACCAGCAACAAAAAAGGATACTTTGCAAGTGGCATTACCTTCTAATATGAAAGTATGGAAATACAGACCAACACTTGTACTGCTAGAGCTAAACAGCAGCAAAATCCAGGATGTGGTTGCTGGGAGGGCATAGCAAAGGGTCAGCCTGGCAAGCACCTGGTGGGAGCTGACTTCAAATAACAGGCTCTGTATTTCTGAAAGCTGAGCAGCAGAATTTTCTTCTCAATCTGTAAACAGGCACTGGATTTTTCCCTGAAGAAACTGGCAATGAACTCGGAAGGAAACACACAGAAAAAAGGGCCACTTTTCAGGAAAACAAACATGAAAATAGTGTTACAGCTCAGCCTCATTTTCTGTGAAGAGACCTAAAGCAGAAAAAACCAGAGAACCTCGGATGAACTACTTCCTGAGAAATTAAGGCCCGTTTTTAGTACTGAGCATTGCATATAGGATTTAGCTTTCTGTATATGTTGTTTTTCTGATTTTTTTCCTAATCAGCTTTCCTATCTGTCCAAGGTGGTTTGTAGCACGCTAGTGATTCAGGTGGTATAACCAGATAAATAACTGAGTTCTTTATAATAAATCTCTTTGTAATAAATGTAGCTTGTAGCCTGATTTACAGCAAAATCCTCCTACTCTTACTTCCATGATGAGACCTACTTAAGTCAGTGAGACTAGTCATGATAATTAAGTTTTTAGTACAACTCTGGTTAGTGAGTAGAATGCAGTTCTGATATAATGAATCCACCAGCTCCAGTCTGATATTCAAAAGGTGTTGATGATTTCAGTATTATTCCTAATGTTCGCTGAGAAAAGTACATTTTTTTCACATTAAAGCATTAAACCCCATACAGGACACAATTCAATTCTCCTTTTAAATTAAATAATTGCTTTTAGAATGGCAAAGTTGAAGTTTAGCCAGCAGTGACACCTGCAAACTGACAGTCAACCCCCCCCCTACGTTAAAATGGAAAGATTTGCATGAATGCGTTTTAAAATGACAGGAGACAGGAATGGGAGCTTCTAAGCAAGTTAGACTAAAATTTTAAGAGTGAAATGGCTAAAAATAGGCCCCTGAATGCATAGTTAGGCACCTATATAGAGACTGCTTGATTTTCAGTTGTTCTGATCACCCAGAGCTCCCATTAACTTCAGGAGCAACTGTGGATACTCAGCTGCTCTAGAAATCAAGCCACTTTTATTCAAGGGTCTAAATATGGATGTCTGTGCCCAAGTGTGAGGGGAAAGATACAAAAAATAAAAAAGAGGTGGGGTTTTTTGATACAGAAGACATTTTATAAAAGACAGTAATAGCCAAGTTTCATTCTTCTTTCCAGTTATAATGCTTGAAACTGAATCAACATAACAATTAATAGTGCAACACATTTGTGCCAGAAGATTTTGTCTGAGGTGAATGGAAATCTATTTCAAGATCAGTAGCTCTTAATTAGCAATCTGAAACATTCCATAGATTCTTCATATTCTGTGACTGCAAAATGTTACCAGGCCACCTAAATCTTTTTCATAGTATTTCAGTGTTGCCATTAATAAGCTTTTCAGCCTGGTCTGAGGAACTTTGGAAGATTAACTTTGCAAATCTGTAAGTATTAACTATTTAACTATTTCAGAAATACCACTTTTTTTGCTTTTGGATCAAGTACAACCAGCAGACTTGAGCATATTTTTAAATACTATAAAATATGAAGAAGGGAGAATTAGGCCTTTCATTCCATCATATGCACTTGGTTGTCAGAAGACTTTTGAATGCTGTTTGCTTAAAGACCTCTTTTGTGAAAGTAATCCTGAGCTGATTTTGTGTTTAAGCCATTGCCAGTTCATGCTGAAGTGGATAAGAGCCAGTCACATGATAGAAAATCTGCAAGAAAAAAAGAAAATTTATGATGGAATTATATATAACTATAAAACTGAAAGTGTCAAGGAAGTAACAAATTAAAGGCATGCCAGATGAAGATGATAGATATTTGTTTGTGTATGTGTGCATAAAATATGATGTAATATACCTTTATATATTTGTTTGTAGAATATGAACTATAGCAGCTCTTGCTGCTGTGTTTGATAAAAAAAAGGTAAAAAGGAAAGACTCTTGCTGCTTTTCAAAAAGAGCCAGGCAGAAGCCAATGCTTTTATCTGTCATCTAATTTTGATGATTTCAGTGTTTGTTTTATTGAATATAACGATTGGGACATTTTATCTTCCATGATTTTAGTATAGCAGAGCTTTGGTCACAACTGGGGCATTTGTGCAATCCCCGGCACATAAAAGGATACAACCCTTAAGAAATCAGAAGCAATCGTGTGACACAATCACTGTCTGTGTCCTAAAACTCAGCAGTGATGGCAGTGGCAACGAGAAAGCTCATGCTGCTTTGTCATAACCAGGAACATAATTTTAGGTCAAGAGTGAGGCAGAGGAAGTCTGGCAATGAAGCAAGACAGTATTATTCTCATTGCAGGATTGAGTTTTCAACAGTCACAAATATAACTGACATCTCTCAAATGTTCTATATTTCTTAAGACATGTCAGTATTTCAGTTTCTAGAAAGGTGGGGAAAGGGAACATACTGGTGCTTTTCTCCTCCCTCAAAACTCATGTTTTCCCAGCATCAACAGCACAAGGACTCTCAAAGTTTTACTTGGTTAAAGCTAGTATAACCTTACCTCCTGGGTTCAGTGAACATGGGGTTGATGTTCAGAAGCCTTCATGTTTTGGTAGTTCCTACAACCCTACAGTGTTCCCAACTATGCTGCATCCTTCGGGGTTGATACCCTGTGCTAGTGATGGAGGTCATGGGTAGATAGGTCAGAACCCCTCTTCCCATTGCAAACTTCTTCCTCAGGAAATAACACGTAAAAGCTTCTCTATCAGCAGCATTTGTATGAGATGTAACTTTCTCCACAGCATGGAAATATATTGTAAACAGTTGTGGTACAGTGACATAAAGGGTCTGAGAGGTATTTTGAGGGTCAGTTGAACTGGCTACAGCTGGGAGTGCAAGGAGTGCACTGCCATCCATTTGAAAAAGACTCCATACTTGTACAAACTGAGGCTCTTTGCTCACTGCATTGCAAACAAACAATGGTCAGCTGCTGGAATATCAGATGTCTGTGACGACAGGCCATATTTAAAGAAACACGTCATTAAGAATGAATCAGATGTATGTTCTACTTGTGCAAAATCAGTAAGCCAGCACATCTAGAAAGATGACTTTCTCTCCATAAGTTGAAAGCTGTCAACAACTAACCTGTTGCTCAATGTCTCCCAGCAAACTACTGGCACCCAGGCGAAAGAGCTCTGGTGTCAGCCATTCCACTCCCAGCTCGTCCTTCACCAGCATAAGCCAAGTAATAGCTTCTTTTGCTGTCCGAATGCCCCCAGCAGGTTTAAATCCAACCTTTATACAGAAAAGAAAAGAAAAAAAAAAAAAAAAAAGTTCAATACACATTTTCACTCATTCACCAGCAACACTAGGAAGAGCAATCAATGTTTGTACACCTGCAGCCTCACAGCGTCTGTGGTGTGTGTAATAGCTCTGCCCAGTAAGGACCTGATTGCAAAGAGGATAAGCTCTAGCACTGAGAGCTATCAAGCCTCAGCCATCACTGTGAAAGACAACATTTTCATTCTGAGGGAGCAATACTATTGAACCCCCGTGCACTTTCTCAGGAGCTCAGTTTGAGGACTACTTTGCCTACTGCACGTACCAGGCCAAGGGGTTTAGCCCAGACCTGGGACATCTGCACAATCACCTACTGCCCATGTCACAATCTAATTCCAAATATGTAACAACTCATACACGTGCAATAACACTAAAGATGCTGAATTAAAGCATGTGAGGCAGCTGACTCATGGACAGCAGTGAGAGATGGCTGTACTTCATAAAAACCCTGTGCACCAGAGCTACACGTGATTTGGCTGTACATTCAAACCTCTCTGAGGTTTAATTTTCACTAAAATTTTCCAAATGGGAATTAAATTAAGTTTGTCTTTATCAAAAATCAAACGCTTTGTGCTTCACAGGAACTGCAGAACTCCTCTCCCACGCTGGATATGCTTTCAGTCACTTGACGTGAGATATGTCATATTTGGTCAGGTGAACTGCCATGTACTAGAGGCATGCACGCCAAGAAAAGCCTATCTTTGGGGTAAAGCACATCTTGAATCCTCTGATGGACCTGCTGTGCAGAGCCAGCACTGAGGTGACTTGGCATATACCCCTGATGCCAGTCTTTCACGTGCCATTTAAACACATCTCATTCTGAGACACAGCTAGTGATACACAGTTATCAAAAATTTGCATTAGTTAAAATGTTGGCCTTTAGCAAGTAACTAAACTCTTGGAAAACAAGGAGAAATAGGAAAAAATGTTTCTGTGTTAAAAAAAAAAAAAAGCAAATCAGAACAATATGAGGAACACAGTAATTTTTCCTGTGTTTCCCTCTGCCATAAACCTTCACCTTCTGCAAGAATTACTGGTTTGTTTTTTACATACAAGCTTCTGAAACCTCACTGCATTGAGGATTTCTTTGTATCTTATGGATAAAATAGTGGAATCTGAAAGTATCTGTTTTTAAATGTGTTTGGTAATCTTCATACAGTGATTTCAGGACCAACAAACACAGAATAAATCCTTCTCTCTCACACTAGAGCATTGTGATAATGGCATATTTTCAATAAGATTAAAAGAACAATAGCAGGAAAAGTGTGATAAATCCAAACCACAAAGACTGTGGGTTTGTGGATGGACAAAGAGATGCGAGTGTATGCATCCATCTGTTAACATTAGTTTTCCAAAAACAATATAAACCACAGCAACTGGAAAAGCATCTTCTAGATAATAAATTTAAATAGTTGGAATGCGTTTTCCCTCAGAAAGAGAAATTCTAATGAACTTTAAATTTAGATTTCTTCCTAGAAATGTTACAGCTCTTTGAGGTAATCTGTGACAAAACCAAATAAAACTAAGTTAAGAAGAGAATTAAAAACATCATTCAGAATTCCTTGCCCTTTTAGCAAATTCTGAAAGCTCTTTTCTTTGCAAAAAAAAAAAGCTGACAAAGACAAGCCTGTCCTCTCCTCCATTTACCAGCTTTCCAAACAGAACATCTGACTACCATAAAAACGCAAAAAGGAAGGGGGGTTGGAATTTAATTCAAGAGCAGTACAAAGTCCAGCTACCACTTTCCTGCTGTTTCACTGCATTTCATTATTTTGCTTAATAAGTTCATCTCCTCGAGAATTTTCTCTTCACCTTACATTATTAAAAGTAATAAGTTTTTCTGGATTGGGGGCTTTCCCAACAGAAAAACCAATTTATGTATGTCCTTCAATAATGACAGGAAAAGATTATTTCCCATTATATTGCACACTTTTCATATCACCACCACAGCTTATCAGTCAATAAATGTTACTCTGCAACTTGCTCCTTTCCTTGAAGAAGTTTAATTTCTGTATTAACCTGTTTTTCCCAGGCAACGCCTTGCTAGAAAGCATCCCCACAGCAGCAAAATTAGTTTGTTAAAGAAACCATTTAGAAATCTCTTGGCACTGATAATATTGTCTTCATTTAATAAAAGTACACAAAGTCAGTTTACATCTAATTCACTGACACACACATGCACACAGACATAAGCACTTATTCCTAATAACACATTTTATACCATGAATGCATCCTTTTAAAGCAAAAGGTGAATTCAACATTTATATCCAATTATAAGGTACAAAGCTGTGCTAATGCAGCAGAGCCCAACTTCCAGCACACAGCTTGTGTAAGCAGCACTGGTGCTGAGGTGAGTCACCTGGCCCCAGGGATCTGCCTCGTGTTGGTGCAGTGACAATGCTCCCACAAAAACAAGACTGTCAGAGCTGCTCAAGTTGTTGTGTGGCAGAGAGAGATGCAGGCTGGGGAAGGGAGGAGTGAGGACAGCCCAGGGATCCATGCTGGCCTCATCTAGATGACTACAGAGAGTAGGCAGACACACATCTAACCTGCTGTCCTCAACAGGCCCTGAAGACATCTCAGACCCTATCCCACTGCTCATCCCATGTCCTGACATTGTACCTTGAAAGGTCACCTGCAGAAGCGATAGAAGGATAAACTGAAGAGGAAGAAAGGGTGGCCCAGAAAGAGGGAGAGGCTCTTAGCTAGAGACATGATTCCCTTCCCTAAATCTGACTGTGCAGATAAAGCCCACTGCTGAACACCAGCACCAGATCTAACTGGCAGCCCCTGCTTGTCTGTGGATAAAAGAGATGAGAGGTGGCTTAAGCTCTCCTGTTAACCTCCTCCTTTCTCAGTGCCTCAACATTTCATCGCTGTCTCTGCCATATGCTCCTCACTGCTTTCTTCCCTCTAGTGACACCACTCGACAGTGACCTAACAGATAAACCTTGTGTACCAGGTTCTTCCAGTCCCTGTCCCTCCTTCCTTCCCTCCATCTCAGACAACAGGATACAGCTGGATCTGCCTTCTGTTCCCTTGGAAAGCCTCTCTGGCAAGGGAGGAAAGAGCAAAATTTATCCCTTGGTTCGCCAGAACAAAGTCAGAAAATACAGTTGTGCACACTGGACAGACTCAATGGCTCTAAACCTCAGCTCTGCTGAGATTTATGGTAGTTGGCCAATCACTACTAGCTTGAGATTTGCCCTGTCATTAATGGAGATAACCATTTAAATACCTTAAATGGTGAAAAAAAATTCAAATTCAAGTGCAGCAAGCGATGCATTCAGATTGCATGATCCTTTAGGCAACGAAGTCACAGTTATGCAAGGGAGAAAATCCAAAAGCATTAAAAAAAAAAAAACCAAGTATACAAATATTAGCAAATAAATCCTATTACCTTGTTACTTCTTTCTGAGTGAGCCTGTTTGGTTAATTTTATAACAATTGTGAGAATTACCTTGTTGCCAGTTTGCCAGTAGTATTCTTTAATGGCTCGCATCATGACTATTCCAACTGGAAATGTTGCATTTTCCACCTCCTTTCCTGTAGATGTCTTTATAAAATCAGAACCTGAAAGGAAGCAAAAAGCTTTACAGTAGCCTCAGAACTAGAGTTACTCTGCACATAGAGAGCTCACACCCTCCAAAGATGTCACCTGCTTCACAGCCATTACGAAGCATTCCTTTGCATCCATGTGGTGTCAGTGCTTACCTTGCTCTGGTCAAGACAGAGGGGGAGGACTATGCCCACATGGTTTCAGAGTAAGTCAGACATCCCAGAGGCTAAATGAACCTGTCAGCTCCTGATTGTCTGCTCTCAGTGAGCTCAGTGAGCAATCAAACCAACAACCTCTTCAGGACAGTCAAACATAATACATGGTTCCTGTACAGATACTCAATATATGTGTGCCTATACTGTGTCTGACTAATTATGACAAGGGAAATTATTTCCTCAGAAAAAAAATTTCATATAAATCAACATTTTAGTATTTCCACAAGGATCTTTCTGAATAGAAATTATTTTCATCAGTTTTTTTAATTTAACATTGCATCTACTTAGCCATGGCCTGATACAATGCAGCAGCAAGGTCAAAACGTGTATTATTTGAGGAACAAAAGTTAGCCTTAGCTTACTTTTTTCTGGTATTGTCAACAACATTCTCCACTGTCTGTCTTAATACTTGTGTAACATTCTTGTGTATTCTTGCTGCTCTGCTTTGGCTTAAAATGAATTCTGCAGCACAGTAAAACAAAAAGCTAAGAAACTACCAAAAAAAAGTGCTTTGCAGTGTATGATTGTGCATTGACACAACACAGTGATAAAACTTCTTTCATTTCATTAGGACACACTTCATCCCTAGGAACCTACTTCTTAGAAAAGGTGTACTGTGGGATCATTAATTATCAAAAGTAATTGGGAGAAGAAGAGGGATAATTCAAACATCGTGTAGTAGTGCATCACCCACTTAAGTCAATTGGAACTGCATCTGCTTCCACTTCAAATTTGGCTTAGGGTCCATTTTGTCTCTTATGTGAGTGATGATGCCTCTACAACATCCCCTAGAGTAAGGAAGGGAAGTTTCACTACTGGCTCACACTGGAGAGTTGCCTAGGCTACACTCTGCCGGTGTGCCGCAGCACACTCTAGAGAGCCGTCTTCCCGAGGACACAGCGGACTGGCACACAGCTGGGTACCAGCCTGATGGGAAGTTAAGACAAAGCCAGGCATGTTTCTGTGTCCTGTGATTTAAACATAACAGAATGGTATCACCAACTCTGGGTTTTGTTAGACCATGGTTTTCTCTATAGGCTTCCTGACGAGGCACCAACTCAGCCCACTGGTGGGTGATTAAGTCGCCCCCTCCTGTGACCATTTCCATTCTAAAGGAAAATAGTTGTTTGTGAAAAATATTCTGACTTCAGAGAACGTGCAGTGTGCAAAAGAGGCAATTACTAGATGATTGAGCTTTGCAAAGAACGAAGCATACAGGAAAGACAATTGAGTTACACATTTCAGAGCTACTCCCTTCCAGAGAGACACTGCGGACATCTGATAGTCACATTAAAACAAGGAACAGTGCAAGTGAAACTTCAACATCGCCAAATTATATTTTTAATTTCCCTTTTGAAATGTAGCACTTAAAGTCCTTCAGTGCAGTACTTTTCTTTTTTTTTCTTTTCTACTATAAGGTAAGTCAAAGCTTTTATAAGTCTTATAATTACAAGTCTCTATGGTACAGTTTCATTAAAAACTTTCATTAAACAACAGCTGCCCTTGTATATGGTCTTCTAATCAATTTGGTCAAACAGAATGACTTCTAATCAGCTGTTGATAAAAATAGAAGATGAAATTTTAATTCTAATAGATTAACCACAAACTCAAGATAGTCTTCAAAATCCATCTAGTTCTATTCTCCAGTGGATTTAACGACTATTCAGCAACTCATTACTAAATAGAACAAGATGAACATTTTCCAGTTCATTAAAGAAATGTACTATGTATTTTTGCATTGTCCTCATGATTCGTTACAGGGAGTCTTAATTACAAGATAATGGATAATGGTTATTAAATGCAGACTCCAGTAATGAAGCTCTATTCATTTGCGAGCCTCAGAGACTGCAAAGAGGGGAAAATAAAATTACTAGCTTCAAAAGATTAACGGATCAAATTATTATTCAATTTTGAAAATCTCATTCAGACTTCATAGAAACAAGAAGAGATTAAAAACTAGTATTAGTACAAAAGTAGTGCATTTATATATTTATTTTTAAATAATATCTTAAGGCTATTACCAGAATAATCAGTTCTAGATGTGATTATTAGACAAACATACAGCCAATTTAGTAGCATCCTCTAACAATGAAAACAATACATTTTTATTTCCTGAACAAATTCTTTTTATGACACAAGAGCTTGCTAGCAGGACTGCATGCAGCCTCTTGCAGGAGACAGAAGATGCACACTGGCAGAGAGAGCCACAATGAAAGGTGTTATTAACGTTTGGATTTCAGGAATGAAAAGGGGGATTTAAAAATCAAGTGCTACCAAAAAGGCACCTCATTAGGCAGACTTTATGCCAACCTTGTAATAATAAGGGAGTATCATCAAGTCTATTTCTTATTCAAGTTTTCAAAAACAAGTTCAAGGAATGAAGTTCAGCTGGAGTTTCATCTGGAAATTTAGGTGATGATTTAGAAACCTGACTTTTATCACCCATCTTCTCATCTTCTTCTGAATGTGTACACTCAAAAAATCAAGGCTATGGCTAAAATACATGCTGGGTGGCTTTCCCCTTCCTTAGAGTAAATAAGGTTACATGATTCAACAAAGCATTATATCAAAGATTTTACAAAATTAGTTATTTGGGGGACATTTCCAGGCCCTGTGAGCCAGGAAAAAAACCACACTTTCTACTCTTTTCCAACGTATAACCAACACAGTACGTTGCCTTTCACGGCAGCGAGTCATATAAGACCCATTGAACCAGTAAAGAGTGGTGACATCAAAGCCTTTTTGAAACACAGAAACATCACAGGTCTGTTTCAGGTGGGCTTGTGGCCAACCCGGTGACCCACTGGCGTGTGATGCGTTACAGCCCCACAGCCTGGTGAGCACCAACTGCAGCGGCTTGCTTTCAGCAGATGTAAATCAGAAGGAACCTTAGGAAATAGGAACAGTGCTGCAGTCTCTGTCTGAGGGCAACTGAGCAACTGAGCTCTCAGCACTGCTGGGAGCCAGACCACTTGCGCTCCAGTCACAGGTCTTGTGTAATCAGGTGGAGTGCTTTCATTTACCCATAGAAACATTTAGGTTGGAAAACCCCTTAAGTTCATCGAGTCTAACTGTTAATACTGCCAAATCCATCAATAAACCATGTCCCTAAGTGCCATATCTACACCTCTTTTAAATAGCTCTGAGGATGGTGACTCAACCACTTCCCTGGGCAGCCTGTTCCAGCGCTTGACAACCCTTCTGGCTGTCAACCAGTCTTAACGCAGTTGTCAACCTGGTTGGTTTAAGACATTATATTTCCTCTTCCTTTGCACTCTCACCCCCCACACAGTGACCCTCAGCCACTGCACTCCACCAAAGACCACTCAAAATAATCAAGCTGAATGTCCAGACACCAAAAAGATAATCAGGGTCCTCATACCACACTGCCTGAATTCATACTGAGAGATCAGGATGAAGTCCATTAAATTATTTCTAGATACACAGCCTCATTTATGGTAGCACCTGAACAAAGGTGTAGAGCTGAGGCATATAGAAGCTGAGTGACTTGCCCAAGGTCTCTCAGTAAGCATTTGACAGGGCATAGATTGAATCCCCTGGTCTCCTAAAGGTCAGAAGAGCTTCCCTAACTGCCCTGCCCTATTTCTCTCCTCTATATCATCTCGAAACACTTCAAAGCTTTCCAGTCCACAGAACACTGAAGCAGAGCATGAGAAGTGGAGAATCTTATTTAGATGACATCCAGGAAACACACTCTGATTCCATAATTAAGCAATAAGGAATAATAAGCAGTGTAGCAATCGTGGAGTAATCACAACCTTTTGGTTGTGAAGTGTTCCAAATGCCCTTGGGGAATGATTATCTCCTGATAACTGCAGATTTTTGTTGTTGCCTTAGTCTTAATAAAGAACAAAGATGTGTCTGGCAGTTTTAAACAATAGTTTAGACAGAGATGCTTGCAGAGGGACAATTATGCCATGCTACTTTGTAAGTATTTGCAATGAGCACAAATGTATCTCGGTTGCTGCAACTCAGAAATAACAATATACAGTGACACAGGGTGAACACATACCCTTCCAAGCTTTCTAGGACTGACGGCAAAAAGAGGCATGCTGCTGAGAGGACCTGAAAAATCACCCACTGTTTCTGCTGACAAGGTAGCAATGATAAAATTGTACAGTGCCAAATGTGCATAAAGTCCCATTAACAAGTCTCATTTCTATTTTATGAGTACCTAAACTAAGGGTCTTCAGATTCACACACAATTAGCCTGGCTAGGGGCGACCAGGTTATCAACCCTCTGAAAATAAGAGGCAGGGCAAGATATAAAAGGCTAATGTAGTAGCTAATTCTTGTCAGTTGAGTCATCATAACTGTCCACTTAACATGTCCTTATCCTACTTCAGTGGCAAGATAAAATACCTTCCCTAGCTAGCTTAACTTTGCCATTGAGGAGAAGAGAATATAAAGCTGTTACAACTTACTTTAGAAGTAGCTCACCGAGCAGCTTTAGCTCCATCATATGAGTCTACAGTGCCAGACCACTTGGTGAGGTGCCTATGCGTGTTTTCACATGCCTATTTCTCAGCTACCATTTTGAAAAATGCTAGTTTGTAACTTGGTCTATTGTGAACCACCCATTTTTTGCAATTCTTTTCAAAAAAGTGCCTGAATAGAGGAGGGGGGTTGGAAATAATAATCCCATCATAGGGCTCCACATTTAATGTCTGTTTAGAAATAAGACAAACTTTAGATCCATCACATCATCTCAGCTTAGTTTTCAAGACTCAGAATGGATGCTTCCTTTCTTATATACCACCTCTGGTAATAGGGGTTCT